CTTAAAGTATTCCTTAGTTATGATGCTGTAGGTCTGCTGGAGGACCTCGCATGATCTCAAATGATACACCTTTTTTCACTCTGTTCTCTGTGTAATAATCACAATATTGCTGTCATTAATGTTTGTTTTGTTTTATATACACACACACACACATTGTGTGAATTAATGGAGTTGAGATTTACAATTTCTATTCAAGAGAAATACTCAACAGTTTGTTAATTTAGTCGTATTTTCCCTTTTGTTTTCAGAACTTTCCCACCTACGAGAGCATGAAGCAGTATTTGCACTTGCAGGGTGCTGCCTCTTGTCAAACCTCTGCTGAGCCTGCCAGTCGGATGGAAGTGGAGTTTTATTACGAAGCAATCTGAGAGTTAATATCACTTGTTCCATGGCATGGAACGATTATCGACCTTTTATTTAATGCGAGACGCATTGTTGAAATTAAATTAATTTTGAAGTTGCAAACACCAATTGTTAAAGTTGTGTACCTACATCAACAGGGGAAATACTAAGTGCTTGGCAACATGAGATAATGTTAATAAGTGTTATTTAGCAAATAATCCTTTCCACCAAGTTTCAAATGTGAGAATTGGAAAAACGTTGTTTTGTCACTGTAGCTTATGGTTTGTTTCATTCAAAAATGCTGCCAGATGGCTTAGGATCATTGTGCGGTTAAATATAAAGAGAACCGGAAAGTTTAGACCACAGAGTGATGTTTAAAGGTCAAATTCACATTATTTTCCTAAACTGACTATTTACCAGAGGATATCAGAGTTGTCATTCTGTTGTAAATACTATATCAGCCAACTTGTACATTAACACAGTGCACACGGAGGATGAAGTTTCCGCTCACTTAAAACTTTCCGAGCTGATACTGAGTGTTTGGAATCACGGAAGCTTTTGGATTAGATGGTGTTAAACAGTCCCACACATATACATAACACACATATACATATACATATGTATATATATAAAAACTCAACCAGTGTTCCCCCTATTTCTTTAATGATAAAGACAGACTGCAGTGGTTTGTCAGTTCTTTATGCTATTGCCTCTTTCTGTTACCTCTAAAGTAGTGGATTTAAGGCCAAATAATCTTTCTCTAGCTGAAAATGGAAGGCGATGTGTATCTAAGTCGTGCTGTTCTGTATTATTAGACTGTATGTGAATTCCCTTAGAAGGTTTCTTCAGTTTGTAGAGCTATTACCATCATGCTCCATTACAGATGGCACAGCCGCTTGGAGCTATGAGTCTAGTAATGTGACTGACCAAAAGTGAATTTTCTTATCATCACAACCTCTTATCTCGATGTCTCCATAAACAGATAATCTACTATACCTCACCAAAGGGCAAATGTTTTTTTTTTTTAAACATTTTCTTGCAGCCACAATTTGTTTGTCTTTGGTAGGGAGAGTAGTACAGCTGTAAACATCTGTGAGATGTAGCCAGGAAATCCTCAAATGTAGCATTAAACAACTGGCAATTAAGCCTAACCAGTATGGAGGTTAATCAGCAGGGATGATTCATTTTAGTTGTTAATAATAGCTGCCATGACATCCAAAAATCATTGTTTTTATGTTAATCTGTTTAATCCTTTTGGGAATGATAATTCAATCTATCTGGCTTGGTTTAACCTGATCAAGACTTAATCTAGCGTTATCCTCTTTTTACTTCTTTAAGCCCTCTTTACGTCCGTCAACCAACCCCGGAGAGTCTGTTGACAACTGGTTTCAACAAAAAAGTTAAAAGTGCTTTCTTTTGGTCTTTACTTTACCTTTCACAATGCAGTGTCTCCTCAATCAGATACTTCATATTCTAAAGAAAATACCATGACAGAAACTGAACATCTAGGGGAAAAACATCCTGACAACAGCAGAGGACAGAAGGAGGGAAACGCTGCCGTCGTTAACCTCTGCATATTACCTACTGACACAACTCATTCAGATTTGAGTGTTTGCAAGGCAGTCGCAGCTGCGCTGTACACTGCCAACTTCTGCCCCGTTATTTACAGTCAGTATCTGGATTGCTCTGGCAAAAACTGTTTCATAATGCTGTTTGTAAGAATCAAGATGTGTGTGTGAGAGAGATTGAGCGTACGTTGCGGGGTAATCAGTGTACCACTTGCGCTGTAATGACTTGCATCTGTTGTGCAATGACTTGCACACTTCACCACATGCACCTCCTTAAAAACCATCTATTAAAGCGTGGAGCTGAAGTTTCACCTGCACTTAAATCGGTCACACAGGCTCACCATTTATTTTGTTTAAAAATGTATTCTTAAATATGTCACTGCATGCTGTAGGTGGGCAGAAGTGTGTGTGG